TTGCCTGCACAGTTGCTACTGCCAAAAGGGATGGTGACAGTCTGCGGGAAAGAAGCTCTCCAGAGATTTTTCTCTTTTGTTGACTCCTTTGATGAAGCTATGAGTAAAAAAAAAAATACTTAAATATCCAAAACAAGCTTGGTTTTTTTCCAGTTTGCTTTTTACCACATCATACTGCAGACCTGAAATACCAGAGTTTGAGGAAATGAAACCTCTAAAGAAGGGCACGCTGCAGCTACTCTTGTTTGAAGGTAAGTTGCCATTAATCAGACAGTTAATGGCCTCTCAGAAATCCATTATCTGATGTGGAACAGCTAAGAGTTTCTGTACCTATGCACGAGGGGGTTTTGGTGTTCACCTACCAGCATGGACTAAAACATCACATCAGATAAACTTAGCCTAAGATCAAAACCAAGTGTTCCAGGATGTCAAGCTCTAGGGATGTTTATGAAATCCTTGAAACACAAGTAACAGTAACTGAACTCATCTATTTGACTTGTTGAAACTTCCTGTTAGTTTCTAAGAACTTTAAAATACAGAATGCATTGAAGAGAAAATGAAAGGCTGAAATTTTAGGCATCAGGCACCATCTCTTCCCCAGTAGTTTCTGGAATTGAGGAGAGTCTAGTTTCAAGGAATAAAATGATAGCTAGATCATGCTTAATTCAAAGGGTCACGACTTTGACATATATTTGCTTGTATCACTCCCACTAAATGAGGGGCTTTTACCAAAAGTTGCCTGAGATGCATTCTGTGCTCCTTTTTCCTGAGCTGTTACCGATGGTGATGTGTTAGGTGCAGCTAAGGCAATGATTGTAAAAAAACCTAGAGTCATTGTGTTCCTTTAAGAATGAGATTGGTTTGGAGCCAAACCTGTATCCTTTTATGGCTGAACTGAGACTTTGACTTTTGTACTTCTTCTAATTCCACGATAGATGCTGCTCAGTGGCAGGCTGCTGTTTAAATCCAGTTTGCAGGCCATTTTATGAAGCTTTGATACAATGTTGTGTACAGCTGCTATTTATTGGAAATAACCTGCCCCTTTGGATTTAGGACTAGCTGAGCTCTTTCTTGGCCAAGTGCGATCTGAGAAATAAACAAAATTATCACACAGCAAAATAAGCTTATTGAAACCTTACAGTCACTACAGTTAGTCTGAACTACAACAGAAAAAGCTTGTGCTCTGAAACTGGAGGGTAACTGTTTTCTGGGAAATGACTGTTGGACAAACACGCTTTCTGAAACAAGTCTGAGTAATTGCTGCTGGGCTGCTACTAACAGTTCGTGGTATTGAAGTCTTACTTATGTTCCTGAATTTCTTCTAGCTGGTCACAAAACTCCCCCATTATTTTTAACCTATGTTACAAAACTTCTCTTCTGGAAAACTCAGATTTTGCCATGGCTAAAAATACTTCTGTTGAAAACTGTTCTTATAAATGCATTTGAATTCTTGACTCTCTGCAGAAATGGGTTTGTTTGTTTTAGCCATATCACTACAGAGGGCTGATTTGTTAAAACTAAACTGGGCTAAGGTTTGCACTTACATCCTACATTTTTTAAAAATACTATGGATGCTTCTGTGTGCTGTGATTATCTACATCTCATTTGGACGTATCTGTACATAGGGCATGCACTTCTGCCACCTGCTTTGATACCACATTCCACTACTCACACTACGTTGAGGCTGTCTGCATATCGATAGGTAAATGTCAGTCAATGGTTCATGCTGTAAAACCTCCTGATTGTACACTGCAGGCCATTCAGCTTGTCTGAATGTTTCAGCTGCAAGAAGAGACTTCTTCCTGCTCGTGTCCCACCCCTTTGAATGCAACCACCTCCCTCCTCTGCTTCTGAGCGGAGACATACTGTCTTAGTGTAAGCTGCCTGACACAATGCAGGGTGTGGAGGACAGGACCTGTTCCTATGACCGATTCCAGCTGATCTGAAAGGGAGCTGTACTGTTAAAAGGCATTCCAGATCATGAACTGGGGGGTTCACCTCTTTCCCCTGTTCTTCAGTCTAACGTTACCACAATTTTCTTTTGGCAACCATCCAGCCTCTGGAAGGGCTACAGGGAAGCGCCAAACCCAAGCTGTGAGAGACAAGTGGCACACGCAGTCTTCTGCACAGTTCTTCAGTTTCTCCAGTGGCGTATTGAGTCTCCAGAATGAACAACTGTTACTGCTGGAAACACCGGCGTGAAAGTCCTCTCTCAAACAACTGCTTGTGTGTTAGGCTAGGCAACAGTTTTAGAGGAGAAATTCCCAGACAGGTTTAAAAACACTTTATTAAAAATATAATTTAAAGACTTCATTAGAAAATAGAGCAGCCTCTGTACAGTGATGCTTTAAAAGTCCGTGTAAGTTGACTAAGTACAAAAATAATGTTCTCCTGTTGGCATGAGCATGAATGGGGAGAGACCAAACTGGCAGGCTCTTGACCCAAGCAAATTTCAGCAGCAGTGAGGAGGTGGCAGGGCAAGAGCAGAGGTGCTAAGGGAGGTACAACCCCTCAGCTTCACCAGATGTTTTGCTAGTGAGAACTACGGGACTGGAAGTCTCTGCTGCAGTGAGAGATCTGCACTCTCATTCCTTTCTGTCTTGCAAATTAAAGCTGCAATGGGTTTTAAAACTGCTTCATTGGCTCAGTTTCAATATTAGTAGCAAAGTAGTTAAATTGCAGTGAGCGCTGGACTACAGATAATATTCCTGTGTCTTCATGGTGGGAAGTAGCCGTGATGCTACTGCACTGGAAAGGTGATAGGCTGGATTACTGAGGTGTGCTTTACCCTAAGGTGTGTCAGAAGTGAAGGTAATTGGAGGCTTAGTTACTTGGTGACTGGGTTTTTCTGCTAGCGAAACACGATGGCGTATGGCCCAGGGCGCTGCTGAAGGCTGCCCTGAAGCCTAATAGGGAAGCAAGAAGTGCTCTCCCTGCCTCCAGCCAGTGCCATTCTCGGTTGCTTTTTATAAACTCTAAGCTCAGTTGGGCTAGCTAGAAATAACTACAGATCTTGCTAAAGCCTGTATCTGGTCTAGTTAGTCTGTCTGGTCCTGAAATGTGAGCTGCAGATGGTGTCTGGTGCCCATAAGTGCTTCCCCTGTGACAACTCTGCAGTTGGGGTGTTGTTTCTGACACTAGAACCAATGCACCCAGGAACTGGTAGCTGAGATAAGGGAGTTAATGAAAGTAGAAAACTTCAGCAAATTATGTAGATTGGATATGACTACCAAAAAAACCCAATGTAACCCCTTCCAAATGAACATAAATACTGTTCCCCCTCAAACTTTAGGCCTATTCCCTTTCTCTATTCACATTCAGCAGTACTGTAATGCTGTCTAACAGGGTGCTGTGTCACTTCTATGGCTTGAGTAAGCAGCTCTGACGGAGAAACCAGTAGTCTTTCCTGAACTAGGGGATTTAACATAAATTCCACTTGGAGGAGGGAACTGCAAAGGGGCCACCAGCATGTCGGTTATGATCTGGTAACTTAGGAATACTTTTTCATTAAGCTCTGATACAGCTGCGGTCATACTGTAGTCCTTTGTGTACAATTTCTGCAGGAAAACACGTCTGGCTCTAGTCAGCTTCACTCAGACCATCATTAAAATGAAAGTGAAGGCTGAGATTTCAACAAGGTGATGGTTTTATGGGACAGACTTTGTGGGTAAGAATGTAGACTTAAACCCATCTGGCCTTGTTTGCAAGGGGGTGTGTGGATGGCCTTGTTTTGGTTTGGGCTTTTAATATATATATAAATGTATATACTTGTTATGGTGTCTACAGAGGGATTTCGTTTGTTTGTGTACTACGAATAATAGGGGCTGCATGTGAGGTAAGAACTAACATACGAAGGGGAGGGCTCTGCTAGTGCCTTGCTCTGGTTGGCTTCACTTTCAGAAACACACACACACACAATACTGTCTGTGCCCATAGGGAAGTACGGCTCATAAGCTTTCAGAAAATGGAGTTGGGGATCATGGGAACTTGCCCCTGGCTATTTGAGAAGAGCTTTGGAGGTTTTGAGGTTGAGGTTGGTTTTTTTCTTAAATGTTTGATTCTCTTGGCCATTTTGAGCAGGGCAAGGTTAACTGCAAAAGACCATTTGCATCCAGGTGCATGAGTTCAGGTCTCCCCTCCAGAAGTTTTCTCTCTGTGGTAGTTCTTAAATAGTTCTACAATTTCTTCCTTGTGATCTTAAGGGAACACTAGAGACCGGTTGTGGTAAATAGGGAGTCGGAGCATGTCCTTAGGCTATGGGAGAAAAGTATTCTGCTAATGTCTGATAGCGCTGCATCACTTCTCAGCAGTCCTGGTGTTTGCCTGGCAAGGCTGAGCTCATGGCTACAAGCGAAGTCTTCTGATCATGTCTTGTTTGCATTTTGAAGAAAGTTCCAAAAACAGCTCTTCCACTGCAATCCTCACCTGCCTTCCCAAATGACTTATCTTCTGCAGACATTGAGGAGGGAGAACTGCTGCAGATTGGGACTCCTCTCGCCACAGGGAGAGGTGCCCCCAGGGAGCTAAGCTGAAGCCTGTCCATCCCAGAAGCAGGGAATTCACATCGCCCCATGGGAGGCTTATTCTCAAAGTCACCAGTGTGCAGGGTTGAAGGAAGCTTCAGCGCAGTTACTCTGAGCTTGGGGGGTCCTTTGCATCCCCAAGGCAGAGAGTAGTAGGGCAGCAGACTTGTGCTATGATGCACTGATTTCATCTGCCACCTTTGGGAAAAGTAGGGCTTCTTTGGATGGGAAAACCAAGAGGGGGAGTGTGGGGTTTTGCTCTCTTCCCTTTCCAAACCCACCCTCTAAGCCTGGATGCTTAAGATTTTAAAATCCTGACCCTATAGACACTTATTGTAATCCTCATAACCAAAATAGTTACTTATTTCACATCGCTGAGCCCCAGTACTAATAAGCTTGTGGCAACAGCCTGAAAGAAACCAAGACTACTC